CGATGCAACTTGGTCCCCTGAGATCTGTTCTACTTTGTGTTTCGTTAGGAAGGGGATGAGCTGGTGATAGGTTGAAGAGACCGCTTTCATTTGGTGAAACCAAGTACGACCAAGTATGGCATTGTAAGGGGAAGGTGTATTAATAACTAGAAATTCCATCTGCAGGCTCTTTGTTCCAACCGCAACTAGCAACACTATCTTGCCAAGTGACCATTCAGGTTGTGAATTGAAGCCGACCAATAGAGCTGCCGCCGGGGTGAGGTGCCGCTTAGAGAGACCAAGCTTCCTGGACAAGTCGTAATACAATATATCTGCTGCATTGCCCTGATCTACCAAGACTCATTTTACGTCGAATCGTTTCCCAATTCCCACAGTTATAATCAGTGCATCAGTATGTGGGTGCTGAATGCCTTCTAAATCATTTCTAGTAAATGAAACAGTGCACAAGAGGGGCTTGGGTACTGTGCATACCTTTTTTGGCGCGGGCCCTACTGACATGACCTGCTGAATCTGCTCAGCTTTGGCAATTTCTTCTTGAAGTACCTGTTCACGCTCATGGCTAGTTGTTCCATGGATTACATTTATTACCAACAAAGGAGGATGCTCAATGTCTGGTTCTGGTAAAGGGTTCCCTTGTTCGGCCACCACTTTATCCTGGTCAATATAGTCTCAAAGGTGTCCAGCAGCTACCAAGTCTTCTAGGTGTTGCTTCAATTCTCTGTAATTCTGAGAATTATGCCCCCTGTCTTGGTGATATGTGCATCTGAGCTTCTGATTGCGACGAGCTGGATCTGCCAACATTTTTGACGGCCAAATAAAGAATGGCTCTCTCTTTATCTTTTCCAAAATACGATAAATTGGTTCCTTAAATACGGTCACAACTGCTTTGTGGGATTTGGACTTGTCTACTTCATTCACTGTGAGTCCTTAGTGTTCCTTTCGGTCCACTCTTTTTTTATGCTGAGCTGTTTGCTCGGTTGATGCTACCTCGATGGGGATCTAATTGTCTTCAAGGCGAGCGTACTGCTCAATCTTGGCACGCAAATCTTTCAGTGCTGTGGCGGGGCGCTTGGTAAGTGACTATCTCAGCTTACTTTCTGGGTGCAAACCGTGTTTAAAAGACATCACAGCCATCTGTTCACTGCAAACGTTTTCCTTCAGGTCATTGTACTCCTCCCAATACCTTCTACCATAATTGAGCAACGTTTCTTCCTGTTCCTTTTGGAGACCAAATAGTGTATCTAGCACTTTCAGGATCTTAGTGTTGGAGACAAACCTGGCCAAGAACTCTTTGGAGAGCTGCTTCCAGTCATAAATCAATCCAGTGGGGAGATCATCGAACCATCGAAGTTTGGATTCTCCCAAGTTGGATGGGAAAACTTTGCACATCAGTGCCTCGTCTCGGCTCCATAGGGACATTATCTGCTAATAGTGGCCAATGTGCGTCAATAGGTCTAACTTCCCATCGTATGACGTGAACTTTGGTGGAGTGAATTTCTTGGAAGGTCTCATGGCCTCGATTTTCAGGGAGAATGGGGAGGAGATGAACCTATCCAACGCTCGGTGCTCTCTCTGTGGATAATATGGTCAAGGTGATCTCGCCATTGCTCATTTTGCTTGGTGCCAATCAGCCAAGTACGAAGGTCTGGAGGAGGGTACTCTGTCTGTTGGCTAACTGTCTTCTGCTTCTTAGCCCTTTTTCGGCGTGAGCCACGGGTGTGGCTGCTCGCCGCCTCACTTTGTACCGGGATTGGTTGGCTTTGCTGCCAAGAATTATTTCTGGGATCCTTCTTCATTGGTGGTTCTCGGGATGGGCTTCTTTGTCGCAAGCGAGAGGGCTCTGTGTCAGTCCTCTTCTCCATCGGGTCACCCATCACCCTTTTGAGTTGCGCTTTCAGCTCTTGTATCTCCATTCCCATGGAGTCTATGATTCGATCCTTGTAATCCTTCTCTAGAAAAAGTGATGAGAAGAACCTCCAGCGAAGGGCGATCGATGCTCAATAGATTCGGGAGTCCGGTTGTTATTCCCGGTTTGTTCTTCTAGGACTGTTGGGAGTACCCAGTCTTTATCCTTTGTCTTCTCCGTTTGTGGAGTCAGTGCTGAAGATGGGATGTCCTCAATCCCTTTCGCCAAAATCAAGCGTAGAACTCGGAGACAAAGCCTTCCACGTTCACCGCACCAATTGTGCGTACTGATTACTGCACTAGATGATTGTGGATCGGAGCCCCACACTTGACTGGACTATCCGGGAATTGAGACCCTGCAACAATAAGCTCCGTCAGAGCTGCCCGGCCGAGGTTGGCCAGATGACCCCTCCGGTGTGGAAGTAAGTAATCGGAGAAGATGAGAGCCCCTTTCTAGGTGTAGAGAGTTATGTTTAACTGAGTATTGTTAAGCTTAGATCAGTTATCTTCAATGTAAAGTTAGTGTAGTTTATATAGAACCCCTTGCTTGTTGCCCAAGATGGTTTCATGGAGCTCTGGTGTTGCCAAGTTTCCTTTTAGCATTGCCCCAAGTGGAGGACTATCTGGTAGCTGACTAGGGGTGTATATGCTCATTGTAACCATGCTTGTAACAGATCACATTGCTTCTATCAACTGTTTCCATGATTCTAGGGGTAGAGGACTAGTTGAGGTGGTATCCTCCATGTGCATGCATTCACAGCTTCCACATTTTTCTAACAGGTCCCTTTAGCTCGGTCCCTTCATGCCTCAGTTCGGCCCTCTGTGAGATTGTTCGTAGAGATGGGCCGGCCCAGTATGATATCTTTGTGTGGGCTCGGCCCCTTTTGGTTCGGTCCCTTTTGGGTTCGATCCAAGGGTCAAGTCCTACGGCTCGGCTCAGTCCAACATCATGGTTGGACTAACCTTTCCACTACAGGCTGGGCCCAAATGCTCGAGAACTTGGATGGATTGTTGACGATGTAATTGGGTTAATCTGACTGGTCCATTTGCTTGTCCTGCTTCTCAGGTCTTGAGTCTAATGGATTAGGCCGACCCAAGGCATGGATCCGACCCATTTTGTGTTTAGCCCCTTCATATACAATCTGTACCATTAAAATATTCTTGTACATAAGTAAACCTCATTATATAAATTATGTGTATTTTCATTATTATTTTTTATTTTGGAATTCAAAATGCACTATACTACTTATGCTTTACTCTACATGTGATTTATCCTGCCATTTAAAGCTGAGCACATAATTCACTTGGTCCAAGTATGCGTTTTACATTTAGCTCACTGCTGGAAAATCTACTTTTGGCGGCGCCGCTATAAGTGCCAAAAACGCCGCCAATTCTTTTTGTGACGTTAACACCAAACGCCGAGGACGCGGCTGTCACTATAGCTTTATGACGTTTTAAAAACGTCGTGATATAAGTATAGGAGGCGTTTTAAAAATGCCGCTAAATGTCTTACCCTAACAGTCTCTGACGTCACACTATGATAATTAGCGACGTTTTGAAACGCCGTCATAGACATTTATACATTTTAAAAATTTAGCCGTTAGGGTTGAGATATAGTGACGTTTAAAAAACGCCGCCATAGCTTCTTTTTTAAAAAAAATAATTATGCTAATTTTTTGTGGTTGAACAAAAAAAAATACCTATGATAAGCAATTATTAAGAACTAATAATTGATATTTATTAAAATAATAAATAAACTAAGCTTAAAAAGAAAATTAAAATACCCGTCAGACATTTATACATTTTTTTTAAAATAATAAATGAGTGTGTATCATAGAATTTTCCCAATTTCAATTTGGTTCAATAATGAATGTTTGACAACTTCACTGCAGAAAAACAACATTTGAAAATTTCAGATGCTGCCTATTAATAATGCACAAATCAGGAAGCTACAAATGCTCCTCACAAACAATTCTCACCCATCCCATCATGTAAACTATGGGAATACCCAACAGAAAAAAATAATAAATGAATAAATAATTCCCTGCAGATATAAACAATAATTTTATGGATACAAAACTAACCACAGAAATACAAATGCAATTGATGTATGTTGTTGGTTCTGACTCAATAAAATTATTGAGATATTAATATACACAAACAAATGTTGAGCATGAGACCTGCCAGCCAGCATCATTGATCAATTTTAGCTTTATCCGTGGTAGTCACAGAAACTCAGTTCTTCTTCTACTGCTGCTCCCAATACATCAATTTTATAAACTGAAAGAAGGGTATAAATAATTATCAGTTACCATTCCTCCTCAGTATGCTAACATGCTTAATCTGGCAATTAGTGCAGCCCCTGCAGCTAAAGCACTGTATGCTGAAGCCCACACATCTGATTGAGCATACTCTATACCTCCAGATTGTGATCCTCTCATATGACCTTGTGTTCCTGAATGATCTAAATGCAACTTTAGTACCTGTTAAAAAAAATTTAAAGGAAGGTTAAGGAGAAAAAATATTTGCTCGTAATATAAAATTATGCAAAATGTAAATAAAACCCATTTTATTAATGATCGTAATATAAAATCAAGGACAATATAGCTTCTCATGTTTTAGTCGAATCCTATTCCTATTATATCCCTTCTCTTAAAAAGGGATCAAGCAAAATATGATGATGAAGAGGATGTATCAGCCAGAACCTGCAAGTAATTAAATTAAAGAATAAAATTAACAAAAAGGAGAGCTAACAACTTAAGATATGGAAGCATACAAGAATATATATTTCATATGAATCTACCTCAAGTTGATCTTCAGTAAATGAATTTTTTTGAATGTTCCATGTATCTGCGTAGGTCCTCTGGAACTCTGTAACCGCTTTCGTAACCGTAGATTTCACAGGTGACGATTCTCCCACAAAATGAGCCAGCAATGTAACATGCTCAGGCAAAAAACTGAAACAAAACAAAAAATAAAAAAATCGAATTTTTTTTTTCTTAAATGTCAAAATTGTTCCATTAAGACCAGGGAAATAAAGTAAAATTTTAGTTTATACTTCATTCATATTTCCTTCACCTTTTTTTTTTCCACCACAAATCCCTACCCTAATCCTAAATCCAAACACAGCCCTAGTATATGTTAGACATGAACATACCTGGGCATATCATATGGAACAGATAAAACACAAGCTGCCAAAGCAAGTACAGCACCGTGTATGGAAGCTATGGACAGACCAGAACTTGAATTTCTGCATCAGTAAATTTCCAAGCTTTGGATCAGTATATAAAGGGAATATATCAAGTAGCAGGAGATATTTAATAAGTTACCAATGCATCATGCACGCAGAAACATTAACCAAATATTGAATACCAAAACAAAGGCATGAACCATTCAATATTCAATGCATCATATGCACAGCAATAGAACTTAATAACTACAGCAATTAATATGAATATATACGTACATGAATACAGTACATAGAAATTAATCAATATCCAATGTATCATGTGCAAAAGCAATATCACTCGAACCCACTCCACAAGTTATATATGCATCACAAACTCTTTTTGGTAAGAAATAGATGCATCATAAACCATTATGTATGTTTATGACATCCGACTAGAAGTGAACATGTGTAAAGGACTGAATACCTGAAGATTGTTCCTCCCTAGAGAAATTAATCTAGTAACTAGCATAACAAGAAAGCTTCAAAACCAAGAAAATGACCTCTGTCTTCTCTTCTTTTGAATTGCATTTGCATCTCTGTAAGCCCTACCACGGAAGTCTTCAGCTAGGTTTTCATCCCCACCCTTCATTAGGCCTGCTAAAACTGTTGCAGCATGTTCTCTTACCTGCACAAAAAAACTACATGTTACAGTTAGAAGTGACAAAATCCTATGTAGGGCTCTAACCTCTTCTACGAGTGTGGAAACAATTAAAGGACCATTGTTAAATCCAAGAAACTCTGGGCTCTTCTATATTGTATTTTATTTCAGGGCCCTACCCTCCTAATCACAAACTATCATTAAACTAAGATATATATATTAAGTTATCTATCGTATGAGAAAAGGTCATGATGAAACACTACCCATAATCACATATAAATAGAACATGTAAAATCATTGCTGTAATCATTGCCATCCTAAGATTGTGGAGAATTGTACTACTACATTACTCCTTATAAAACCAAACCAACAAATTGAAAAAGGAATAAAGTTCGCATCTTTTAAAGAATGGGGGCACTTTGAACACTAGCCTTTTTTGTAATCACATTAAATTCATCAACTGTTATTTGCTACCAGAGTCCTTAGAATTCTAGCATAAGCAGCAAGACAAAAGTAAAATACCATGTTCATTTTATAGAAAAATTTCAATCCTTCAGTGAAAGAAAAGACACTTTATACAAAATCAATTGTTTCATTTCACAATTATTTCCTTTTTATTGGCATATAGGGAAGGAGCTGAAGACGGTGTCTGGACTCCTATACAACTGAAACCCAAGCAAAGAAACTATCATGCAAGTGTTCTTAACATGAAAAAAAATAAAAAATAAAAGAAAAAGCATTCAAAATACGTGTGCATAAGTTAGCCAAGAATAAATTATATTAACCATTCCACTTAAAAAGTCAAGCCAAACTTGCCTCCACTTGGTTGTCCGTGAGGTGCTTCTCGACAGTACTCCATATTTGTTTTTTCTCCACAGTAGAGAGAATAAAAGTATGCCTGTTATGAAAAGAGATTACAATGTAAATGATATTGGTACTGTAAAGTAACTGCACCTTTACATTTTCAATGTAACAAAGATGCCAAACTTCAATCTAGACAAGTGATGATACTAGTCATGCATGTCAAAAGAAAAAAATAAGTAAGAGAACTCGAAAAACTGAAAATATGTAAATGACTAAAATGAGTAAACAAAACTAAAAATCCAGTTGAATTGTATAAATGACAATTCATGGGTACAAAGTCTTGTCATAGGCTATAAAGTATTGCATAACATTGCACGAACATAAGAACACAGCTCCTTCAGGCAACTTCGGAGGATTGTCACACCAGTGCTCGAACTACAAGGCATTTTTCTTTATATAAACCAGACGAATATTATTTGTTTCACAATAAGAACCAAGTCCAACTAAACACATCATGATGATATCTTTCTACAGAAACAGAGGCAGACAAAACCAAAACATGAAAAGTCATATCGAAATATAACTAGAGAGACGTAACATAGTCATAAACAATACCCCACCCCCCCTACGGACAAAAGCTACAACATAACTGAGATAATAAGAGCCAGACCTAACCCACTTTATGTTTTAGCCATCCTATCAATCGATCTCCACCTGCAAAACACAGACAATCTCATCAATGAAGCTTGATGATATTCAAATTTGTGCACTAAACTGGTGTCCTAATAATGGGTTTAAATAACATCCCTTAAGTGTTATGAGCCTCAAAAATTGATAAAAGGATGTAGAGTACATACCCTGGGCTTTTCAACCCAACAGAGGATTAGTAGTCATCAAAAAACAACTCTCCATAGTCAGAATAATCACTGCCGCCGCCTGAGAATTCATAATCATTGTCAACGTCAGACAAGAAGTCGATCTCAGAAAACCCAGATGGGTACTCATCATCAAATGAATCCTCATCATCATCATAAACAGTTGTATCAAACTCATAGTCATCGGTGGGATCGTACGGACGCTGAGACAGACCCTATTTACTTCATAATAGTCTTAGCTTGACATTTTCAAGTCGTACTAGCTCTTGCCAGAGATGATATCAAAATGAGCACTGGTTTTCACAAATGACGCTCTGAAAACAATTAGATGTAGGACCAAACTGAAGAACTAACATATTACAAGGAATTATCAATGTTAAAACTTACAGTTTTTCCTTAATGATTTTTATGTTAAAACCTTAATTAATAATCATATCCTCGATCATCATATAGAAAAAATCCTCTTCTTTATATTTCAATGACAAATAAAGAGTCCCCAGTTCTTGTAAGATATCACTAATGCCAAACTAAAACAGGAAAGAAGCTGTGTTAGAACGAAGGGACAGACCTGGAGAGTCAGAGCACTGGTGTGTTTGGTAACCAAGAAATTGGTCAAGTTCACACAATATCACCTCATTGTCCATGCAATTGAAGCTACTCTCCATCGCGATCTTCCACTCCTCCGTACTCGAATCCTTCTTCTCTATCTCTTCCTTTACAAGTTCATGTAACCGATCTCTACACTTCATCGCCACCTACAAAGAAATCAAACACCTATTAACACTTGTTAATGAAAAACAAAATAAAAACGACTTGCTTGAAACCTTGTTAATCAGCAGATTTAACAAAATGCGAGAGATATCAGATCGAGTTCGGATTTTGATGAGATTAGATCGATTTTCTTGTTCGATTTCGGATCTACAATTTGCGAGAGAGATCGAGTTCGAGTTCGATGAAGAAAAGCTAGGGCAAGAACAGATCTAACAAAATGCAAGAGAGATCAGATCAGATCAGATCGAGTATGGATTTCGATCAACTTGAGAGATCAGATCAGATCAGATGAAGATGATCGACTTTCTTGTTCGATTTCGGATCTGCGATTTGTGAGAGAGAGAGAGAGAGAGAGTTCGATGAAGAACAGCTAGAGTGAAAAAGATCGAGTTCGAACTGTTTCCATGATTCTAGGGGTAGAGGACCAGCTGAGGTGGTATCCTCCATGTGCATGCATTCACAGCTTCCACGTTTTTCTAACAGGTCCCTTTAGCTCGGTCCCTTCATGCCTCAGTTCAGCCCTCTGTGAGATTGTTCGTAGAGATGGGCCAGCCCAGTATGATATCTTTGTGTGGGCTCGGCCCCTTTTGGTTCGGTCCCTTTTGGGTTCGATCCAAGGGTCAGGTCCTACGGCTCGGCTCAGTCCAGCATCATGGCTGGACTAACCTTTCCACTACATGCTGGGCCCCAATGCTTGAGAACTTGGATGGATTGTTGACGATGTAATTGGGCTAATCTGACTGGTCCATTTGCTTGTCCTGCTTCTCAGGTCTTGAGTCTAATGGATTAGGCCAACCCAAGGCATGGATCCGACCCATTTTGGCTTTTTGGCTTTTTTGACTTTTTTTGTGAGAGAAGAGTGTAATGATTATGGGTTGGATGTGATGTTTTGTTTGTTATGGCTAAAATAGCCTATTTTGTTTTTTGTGGCTAAAATAGCCAAAAAGCCCAACCAACTTCTTCCCAAACGGTGCCTATGTGTATTTTCATTATTATTTTTTATTTTGGAATTCAAAATGCACTGTACTACTTATGCTTTACTCTACATGTGATTTATCCTGCCATTTAAAGCTGAGCACATAATTCACTTGGTCCAAGTATGCGTTTTACATTTAGCTAGAGTAGTAATTGCAACCAGTTCACGGCAAATTCTGTGCTGGGCAGAGGCAGACATTGCAGAGGCTTATATGGCTACAAAGGCAGTAGAATTCACGAAGGATTTGCCCATATTTGGAGAGAACACCACCACCTGTGTTGACTGACTCTACAAGGCAACTGGAATCTCCCTTCAGATGTAACCAAATCAGCCATTGAAATTAAAACATAAAACAATATGTCATGTTATTTTTATTATTTTTTAGAGGGTAATTTGTGTAGAAAAATTGAACCGAGCTAGGAGTGACCCTCTTTGGAGATTGGGTTGCACAATGAGCCGAGGAAAGAGCTTAGATATCACGGTCTTGGGTTGAATTTGAAATAGATCGGTCAAAGATGGGCTGGTAAGGCTTGGAACTAACTCACATTTGTATTTTCAGGTGATAAAACGATGACATTTGGAGGAGTATAGACTTGATCAACAGAATTATACGAGAATGATTATTTCGTACACGTATAATTTTAATATTATAGTTTAATGTGTTAAAATATCATATTTGATAAATTCACTGCATCAATGTGTATATTATCTTTTCGCATGATTCATTTTTTGACAAACAATGTTTTATTTGTAATCCAATAATTAATTCATTGGCTTAATTCAAGCTTACATTACATACATTAAATAAAATCTAATGGTTAGTACTTTTATTTTTTTTAGGCCTTCAAGTTTTATTTTAAATTGAAATTATTTTAATTTGATGATTTTTTTTAAACATAAATTAATTTATTAATTTTATTGAATTTATATAAAACACGTCATGTGACAATTTTTAGGTGCAATTAATTTGTATATTATGCAAATAGTTCCTGTAGTTTACACGATGTGTCAATTTGGTCCCTGTAATTTTAATTTGCTCGATTTTACTCCTTAATTTAACGGATTGTGTCATTTTAGTTTAATAAATAACAGTTGTTAAGTTAATTTAACGGAAGGTCAAACAATATGTCAATTTGTTCTCTATATTTTACATGATGTGTCAATTTGGTACCTGTAGTTTCAATTTTCTCGATTTTGATAGGGACTAAATTGACACGTTATGAATAATACAATGACCAAATTGACACATTGTTTAACTTTCTGTTAAATTAACTTAACAACGGCTATTTATAGGACTAAAATGACATAATCCGTTAAATTATAGGGCAAAATCGAACAAATTGAAACTACATGGACCAAATTGACACATCGTGTAAAGTATAGGGACTATTTGCATAATTTTCCAATTAATAAATTTAGGAACATTTATTCATAAATTCCTCTTTACTTACTTATGTTCTATTTAATCCAAATTATAGGGACTACTTACTTATTCATAAATTCTTCTTTACTTACTTATGTTCTATTTAATCCAAATTATAGGGACTATTTGCATAATTTTCCAATTAATAAATTTAGGAACATTTATTCATAAATTCCTCTTTACTTACTTATGTTATATTTAATCCAAATTATTTTCTTATGTTTCAATATGGGTTACATAATTACCAAAATACTCATATTAATAGGGTGAAGCGCACATTAATGTTCATATTGATAGAGTGAATGTTCCATGATATGAACATTCACACTATCAATGTAAACATTCACAGTCAAATTTATTTAATATGAATATTCACATCATGAAACATTAATATTGTTAATATAAATATTCACACTATCAATTTTTTTTTTAATAAAATTAAATATTCAAAGTGAGATCTTATTTAATAACTTTCGTTAACTAAAGTTCCAAAAATATAAATTTTATCAATAAAAAAAATGAAAAAATTTACTTTTTTCCTAGAGCTGCAGCACTTTACCCCATTAAGCAGAGAATCCCCGCGTATTTTTAGATTAAATTGCAACAGTTACACCTTCAAGCAACTAACCAAAAGTGTAACATCCTCTCTTATTTTGAGAGTGGATCTCTTTTTTTGTTTAAAATAAAATGAAACTAAAATACAAAATTATAATTATACCCTCATCATTATCAACTTCATCTTGTTTTCCCAAACCTTATAATCTCTAATCAGTCACTTTCTCTCTCATCCCAGTAGCCCCAGCCTTTCTTCTTCTCCAAGTTTATCCATTTGTCCATTCCAACCATCGCAACCTCCTTTCCCTTCTAGATGATCACAACAACCTTCACTTGCTTCTCCGAGCACCACCGCCGAGATCTCTCTTACCTCCAAAACTTGCAAATCTCTTCCACCCATTAAAAAAAAAAAAAAAATTTAAAAAAAAAAAAAAAAAAAAAAAAAAAAAAAAAAAAAAAAAACTGGGATATAATATTCGGGTTATGATTAAAAAAAAAAAAAACTGGGATATATATATATCTTTGTGTAAAATATAATGAAATGAAAATTAGTTTAGAAGTTAGAAATTAAAATAAATAATTAGAGATTTATAATTTATATATTTATTTATTTTTGATCAATAGTTAATATATAATTTAATTGAATTAATGTTATTTTTTCATAAAAAAATTATTAGTGTTTAAGTTAGAAATAGAAAAGAGATAAATAAAATAACAGAAGCAAAAAATAGGGTTTTGAAGGCTATAGAGGTATTAAGGTAATTTCAATATTTCTGTTAATGGAGTTAATATTGCAATTTAGTTTTAAATTATAAGGGAGTTGTCTGCCTATTTTTGAACCTAGGGGGTAAACTGCTCCATGTCTAAATCATAAGGGATAAACTGAATTTTGCTCAAAAAATAATATGTATAACAAAAATTATGAATTTTTAAAGTTTAACATATAGAAAGTCTAAAATAGTGCACACCAAGTTGCTGGGTTCAAAATATGATAAATTACACTTTGCCTCCTTTTTGTTTGACTTATTTATCACTTTGGCTCTTAAAGTTTATTTTTTGCCACTTTGGCCCTATATGTTTCAAAATTTTTTTAATTTACTTCTAAAGTTAATTTTTATTCAAAATTAGACAGAAAATGTCACGATAATTATCACTTAACATAAAAATATATTATTATATTTCGATTTGAGTTTGTGTCAAAGATGTGAATTATATATAATAAAATATTTTTATACTATGTAACTGTCGATGTGTCATTTTTTTTCTAATTTT